TGACAAAGAGATTTTCTTTTACTTCCTGTTTTGTTGACAATGTTTTAAGGAAGGGAACTCTCCAACAGCAAAACAGACAGAAATAATGATTTTTTTTTTTGTAGGGAAGGGAAGGTTGGAACCCCTGTCAGCATTACATTGCTATCTGTGTCCCTGTTGCAGAATGTACCTTACATAGCATCTTTTAGCAGCAGAAGCCAAGCTGGATTTTCAATTTTTCATTTTATCTAAAAAAAAAAGTTTTTTTGCCTTGAAATGAACTTTAACAGCAACAGTTCTTGTAATGGTAAAATTAGGCCTACATCTTGTTTATCTGATGACAATATACTATGTATAAGTGGTAAAAAGATTATAGACTTTCACTCATATACCATAGGCACATCACTTTTATTGACGCTAACTGTCCTCACTGTATGTGACACTCATTCTCTATTTTCACTTGCTTTGAGAATTGTCCTTATTTTATTTTACTTAGTGCGGAAAAAATACAGTATTATCCTGTTAGAAGTTTTGCTCTAAAGCAGTGCTTTTATTGGAGGCTTTTTAATAGAACCACTGGATTGGCGTAAGGCCAATGTGGTGCCAATATTTAAAAAGGGGTCAAAATCTTTACCAAGTAATTATAGACCTGTTAGTTTAACTTCTATAGTTGGGAAGATACTGGAAAGTTTAATAAAAGACCACATAGATGAGTTCTTGCTGGAAAAAAATATTTTAAGCAACAGTCAGCATGGATTCATGAAAGACAGAAGTTGTCAAACAAATCTGATTTCTTTTTATGAGCAAAATTTTGGACAGAGGGTTGGCGGTGGATGTGGTATACTTGGATTTTGCAAAAGTGTTTGACACAGTTCCCCACACACGGCTAATGTGTAAGGTAAAGTCTACAGGCTTGGAAAAATCTAGAACTAGATGGACTTTTGTCTTTTTTTCAGCCAGACTAACTATGCAACTATGTAATAGTAGCCACTGGACCAAATATTTGTCAATGAATGCCTTGGAATTAAACTATTACTCCGAGGCCATCCATATGATATTTTATAACACTAATCTTACTATCACCTCTTTATTATGAGCTAATGTTTTGGGAAAAAATGCTCATTGTCAACAAGGTAGGAATCACTAATAATCATACACCATGCCACCTCCGCATGAGCATTGTCCTTCCAATATGCTGTTCACAAACTCACAGCCTCAACCACTGCAAACATAAAGTGTCATAATTAAACAAAAAACAAATAATATATGATATATATTGTTTAGTAAACTACAGTGCTCTTCACCAAATTGATCTTCTTCCACTTTATTGCATTGGTGAATACATGATTAATCACACATGATTATATTTGGGAACACATAAATCAGTAAGTTTTCATGTTTTTGTCTGCACTGTGCATTTCTAAAATTAATATTTGTAACTCAATAAATGAATCTATCCTTTTCCCTTGCATATGTGAAATTACATGAATATATAAATGCATAGTACATGCAGTGACACGTAGACCAGTGGATCTGTATGTTCCCAAAAATATTTAAAAAAGTAGCCCTCTTTTTGGGTAAGGGGGAGGTTATGACAAATGGCCCTCTCCAAACAGGATATTGCCCTAAGCTTGTAGGTAAATAAGAGAACCAGAACCTTTGCTAAGTGGAAGAGTGGTTTTGATAATAAAGTTCGCAGTGCCTCCACCCAGGACAGGGCCTCTGTGAACAGAGGGTATTTTCCTCCTGGAAAATGAATAACAATACATACATCCAAAAAGGTATTATCAGCAAAGAGCATGATATGAGTCCTAGTGGAATTGTGTACATATACCCAGGTTTATATAATTATTAATAGATATATTTCCAGATGAATGTTGCAGCAAAGTCCATTTGCAGGGGCCCCTGAAGATGATGCAGTGTTTGTCTTTGTGTTGGAGACCTGAAGACGAGATCAGCAGTCACAGGGGAATGCTCCAATTGTTGTCCCACCAGCTTAGAACAGAGCTTCTCACCGGCAGGAACTGTGGTGTGGCACTGGAACTCAGAGACAATAGTGTATAGTTTCTTCTGGCTTTGAGCATGGACAGGACATTTCTGATAATTTCTCTTTCTTCACTTCCTCCTTCCAGGATTTAAAAGTCAAAAAATTAGGGAGAGAAAATGCACACATAATATATTTAGAGGCATTTACAAATTCAGACAGTAGAAGGCAGCAGATCTATACACAATCTTGCAACATCTTTTTCTAAAGGGGAAGATGGTTGCAGGAGAAAGTGTTGTGACAATTTCTCTTTTTATAATGCAGTTCCATCCATGGGAATAGGGGTGTCGAAATGCCTTTTAATACATACCGGGGTTAGACAAAAAAAAATGGAAACACTACATGATTTGCAGGTGTGAAAGTGACCAAATGTTCCGAGTTGAAAATGGAAGTGATGTAATATTATTTTGCTTTTGCTGTGTAATGAGTCACCTGGCTAACAGGTGGGAAGCCTCACTTTTGTCATTCACTGCGTGCGCTGCTACTAATACAGAGTCGTGTCAGAGCTTACTGAGTTTCAAACAGAGCAAAATTGTTGGTGCGCACTTAGCTGGAGCCTCTGTGACCAATTTATATGCCGTGTTGCAAGGTACAGTATCGAAGGTTATGGCGGCATAAACAGTTTCTGGGAAAACATCATCTGATAAGCATCAGCTCAGTTGACATGGTCAACTGCCTGAAAGAGACAAAAGGACATTGTGCAGGATTTTGACCCAGAATAAGAAAACAACTACCTCAAAAATGACTGTAGAGCTCAGTCTCAGTCTTCATGGGACTAGCATCGCACACAGTAAATGACAAAAGTGAAGCTTCCCACTTGTTAGCTAGGTGTCTCATCACACAGCCAAAGCAAAAGAATGTTACATCACTTCCTCTTTCAATGCGAAACATGTGGTCACTTTCACACCAGCAAATTGTAGCATTTCCATTTTTTTGTCCAACCCCTGTATGTACCTGTGAATCTTGCCACTTCTTTTCTGTAACAATTTATGTCTGAACATAGGTTCTCTTGTAAAAATACAGTGTTTTCAGACCCTTAATATTTTCCTCATTTTGTAGTATTATAACCTGGAAAGCATTTTATGCCAAGCAGCAAAAGTGTGACCATTTCAAAAGCATTTGTTGGGTGGGGTGGTGTGCAGGTGGAGGGGAACAGCGACAGCAGAGGTGATGCTTAGGAGGTGGAAATAACTGTCAGAGTGCAAGGTGGCAGAGGAATTGTAAGCACCAGTAGATCGGGATATATGGCTACTATGGCGGAGCCAATCGCCATGGAGGAATGTGGGAGTGGGACTCGAGGTGGCTGGGAGGAACGTACTGTAAGTGCTAGGTTACATTACCAGGGTAAGTGAAGGTGAGGTGGCCTGGAAGAGATGTGGCTGAGGAAGTTAGGTGGCCAGAGTGTTGTGAAATACAAGTGAGATGGAACAAGTACTGAATACTTCCCTTTCTCCATTCCAAATTATGTTCAATTAGGTCACATTCAGGCACCTATCTTAGTTCTTAGTAAAAAATACTTTCAAATATTTTAAACATTAACTAAGTATTATAATTTTCATATATGGCTGAAGTTCTGCTTTTAATGGTGTGTAAAAAGTACAGATCTGGCCTTGATTCACACTTGATGTTTTTAGGTAACCATGTATTTAATCATAAAGGATATTGCAGCATAAGGCCCTTCCTGCTGCTGGTGTTGATGTGTATTTGAAGAACTGTGGCAGAGTGATGCTGAAGCCAATAACAATTTTTATTTGAAATAGGATTTGCCTTTGACTTGTAGTCTGTAATTCCCTTGTCCACCTCATAAATGCAGCAGTAGCAAATGTTTTCTGTACAGAAAAATTTAACATGTTCTATTTTTGTTGACTTCAGCAGTGTTTGAACTAGTGCCATTGCAATCCATGTTAAACACTGCCCCTGCATTTTTGATGCAGGATACAAATGCACTAGACTGCATCTCTTGTGAACCAGCCTTAAGCAGAACTTTTGACTCTCTGTTTATTACATAGAAAAAGAGTTGGGAGGACAGATTTACTTTTTATAGTCTAGATTATTGGAATACTAAACATAAAGCAAACATCTAGCAGGTGTAAATCTCGAATGTCCCTGTCTAATTACTTTCCTGAAGCTTTTGGCTGCAACCACTCTCAGGGCAAGGTCCTTGGCATGTAGTGGATTGAATACAATGGGTGCTAGTCACATTACTGGATTTGAAATTTTATTGCTGACAACTGCTGATACAGAGTTCGAGGAATATGACACCTGAAATACAATAGTATCAGCACTTCTTTAACACACAGGTTAGCTGAGCAAATCTCAGTTTCCAAACATGAAATTCTTGCACACCTTGTGTCTGCCTTTTTCTCTGTTTGATTAAGGGCCAAAGGTTATGTAAAAGGCATGTGTTGTGGAACACTGCATTCTGGTGGAAACTGGCCCCTACTTGACCAGACCCAAGCTTTCTTAACCACTAACCTACAGGGCACTTACACTCCCTTCCTGCCCAGGCCAATTTCCAGCTTTCAGCTGGGATTTTTATTTTTTCTTAAACAAACCAAAAACCACTGAAAATTTTGAAAAAAAAAAGTTTTTTCTTAGTTTTTGTTATACAATTTTGTAAATAAGTGATTTTTCTCCTTCACTGATATGCGCTAATGAGGCTGCAGTGATGGGCACTGATAGGCTGCACTGATGGACACTGATAGGTGGCACTGATGGTCACTGATGAGGAGGCACTGGTAGGTTGCTCTGATGGGCATTGACAGGCATCACTGATGGGCACTGAAAGGCAGCACTGATACATGACACTGATAGGCGGCACTGTTAGGCGGCACTGACTGGCACTGTTAGGCAGCACTGACTGACACTGTTAGGCGGCACTGACTGGCACTGTTAGGCGGCACTGACTGGCACTGATAGGCGGCACTGATGCGCACTGATAGGCGACACTGACTGGCACTGATAGGTGGCACTGACTGGCACTGTTAGGCGGCACTGACTGGCACTGATAGGCGGCACTGATGCGCACTGATAGGCGACACTGACTGGCACTGATAGGTGGCACTGATTGGCAGCACTGATAGGTGGCACTGATTGGCATTGATAGGTGGCACTGACTGGCACTGATGGGTGGCATTGAAAGGCAGCTCAGATGGGCACTGATATGTGGCATTGATGTGCACTGGTATGCACTGATATGTGGCATTGATCTGGCACTGATGGGCACTGGCACGTGGCACTGATGAGCACTGACTGCTGGCACTGATGGACACTGACAGGTGGCACTTCTGGGGCCACACTGATCATCAGGGCACACTGATCATCAGTGCCCTGATGATCAGTGTACATGTCCCCTCCGCGGAAAGCCGATTACCGGCTCTCCTCACCTCTCGAGCTGTCAGCGTGACAGCTCGAGAGGAGAGAAATGCCGATAACCGGCATTTCCGTGTTTACATGTGATCAGCTGTGATTGGACACAGCTGATCACATGACCGAGCAGACATCTTCAGCTCTTATCGTGACCCGCTGTGTCCGAGGGACACAGCGCATTGGCGATCGCCGCGCTGCGCGCTCCCTGAGCCGCACATGCACGGTGAGAATGGAAGGACGTCATATGACGTCCTATCAGAATGAGAGAACCACCTTGCGCCCGTCATTGTACTATATGGCGGCGGAAGGTGGTTAAAGTGACACGCATTAGATGGACCAGTTCTTGTTACAAGGATCTACACACCCACTTGTATTCTGCAAGCTGTCTTATGTACCAGTAGTAGCATCACATTTAGAGTATAGCTAAACCCAAGAACAAGAAATGACATGTATTGAAGCTTATCACTCCATAGATGTGACCCTTTCAGACCAGGCACAGAATCCAAATCCTTATGATGGATGCTGCGACCCAATCTCTGCAAGTGTGCATCTTATCTAATGGCTGAGAAGTATATGGATGCTATCAATATCTAAACTCTTCTTTAACCTTTGTAGGAGTGGCTCCATGGTACCCACTGTTTTCTTTTTGAATACCAGTCACATTCAAATTTCAAAAGTAGATTTGAATTGATTTGGTGGCTATGGGTAACAATTTATTACTGATTTTTTTATTATACTATTTTTTTTTTTTGTGGGAGGAAGCAAGGATCCTGCAGAGGTTATATTTGGGATTAACTTTGCGTTACAGTCAGAGGTTCTTAGGTCATATTTATGACTAAAGGGAGGTCTGGCTACAGCCTATAGAATTAAACTAAAATCTGATTTGCTACTAGGATTTCATTGAGCTTCAACAATGCCCTTTGAAGCTTTCTATTCCTCAGGTTTGTAAACATTGTGGTACCTTCATAAGTCACTCCATCAGCTGTTCAGTTGGACTCCTCCTTTCCACAAAATGTTCATTCTAAACAGACATAACAGTAATATTAATATTACTGAATAGCAAATTTTGATTTATTCAAAAGTCAGATGTCAAGCCATCTTTCCCATCTCTAACCACTTCCCTTTTACCACTGGTGTATGCAGAGAGAGATGCAATATATGCCTATCACAGGAAGAGCAGAGGTGTCCCTCACTTGTAGGCTGTAATTGGCAGCCTGGATTTATCTTTTATTTTGTGTACTGAGTAAGAGCTAATGCAGCAGCCTCTGGAGGGGGAATCACAGGGCATTAGGGTAATGACTGGAGCAGAACGTTTGTCTTATTATAACATCTTCCACTATATTTAGATATTAGTCTATTATAAATTCTAGAACACACAATTAATTCAATGCAGAGTTTTTGGAATTTTTCTCAAAGTACAATATGTGGAAATAATTTAGTGATACATATCAGTGTAGTGGAGTGCCCATTTACTCACCATTCACAGATGCAGGCACAGGCCCTTATATCTCCCTTTTTTTCCCTGGACATGCACAGGGATGATGAGGAAGAGGAAACTTGGCAAGTGATCTGCAGCCAAGTGAAAGACCATACACTGTCAGAACTGTCGTGTGAACAAGAGCCTAATAGCAGAAGAACCCATTGCTGTGAAGGGCCCATGTGTATGCATTTTTTATATTCTGTTTGGTATTATTCTGCAGTGTATTCATGCTCTTTGCTATCCTGAACATGTTTTAAATTATTGCTTAAGGTTGAGTCAATTGTTCACCATTTTAACTGGTTTTCGGTGTGACTTCCATATTGTCAACTCATGTTAATTGATATAAGTGAGTTTAAATACAAACTATAGGACCATCATAAACTTGGAATGCAATTATTTCTTACAATTTTGAGAAGGTTCCAATAATTTTGTCCAGTCCATGTTTGGGGTTTTGCGTGGAATGTGTCAGATTTGGCTTTTTGTTTCTTAATGTTTTTGTGTCATGCCAATACAAACAAAAGAAAAAAACATGAGAATGCCTAAACATTTTGTAATTGCAACAATTTTCTGGGCGAAGTGGTGCATTATCTGACAGAAATACAGGGGTGCCAATATTTTTGGCCATGACTGTATGTCTTGTGTGTAGGGAGATTCATATAATTCAGATGTTAAAAAAAAACTGGTAAATGTGCCTTATGCAACATAAAATTATTGCTGCAATTTTGTGTTATTTTAATATATTGCATATATATGTTAAAATGTTTGTTCCTCCTTTGTCCTTCTTTAGAATTTCATTTCCCCTCCACCTCTGCCCGTCATGAGCCACAGGCTTTTGGTGTTTTCCTGTGTCGCGTGCTCTCATACAGCCTTAGCGTCTCTCTATCTCTAGACATGTCTGTGACTTTTTACTTCAAGGTTATATTTTGTGTGTTTTTCTGCTTTATGTAGCTGGCCTGTTTTCTTGTGTGACCTTAGATCATATGATTTCATTACCAAGCCAGTATTTAACATGTATAACATTAGGCCATTGAAATGCAGTACATTTCCCAGCAAAATATTTTAAAGAAACAAAATCAGACGGGCAACAGAAATTTGTGAGGTTTCATCCATATATAATTAAATGCTGTGCACATAAAGTATTCTCTGGGTTTTTGCTCTTCTGGTGTGTCTTGGTAGACAATATCAGCTGCTATCCATTTTGTTTAAGAACACCTCTCATTTATGAAATATTCTTATGTAGCGACACCCTCGTAAGGGCCACTTGTATTTTTTCCCAGGTCTTCCCCCTTCTTTGTCCCGCAGCCAGGCACAAGATATTTTTCCACAGCCAGATACACACACACCTGCACATTGTCTTCAATGACCAGTCTAGGGGATGTTTGTTTTTTTTGGAGTTTTATTGTCGAACTGGGGATAGGGATGGGGAATGTAGTAGGAAACTCCAAAATTAGAACTATTCAGACTGAGGACATCTAGCTGATCTCTTAGTTGAATATTTTTGAAGTCCTGGCTGATAGTAGATAGCAGACTTCTCTTTGAATTGTAGAAGCAAGTAGTTTAGGAGTGAGCTAAGTCCCTTTCTCCAGTAGTAGTAGTAGTTACAGGGCTGAGCTCCTCAGGTACAAGCCAGTTTCGACAGACTGCGACAGCACAAAGGTAACATAGCTGAGCAAAGTCCTTTGCAGTAGCAACAATTGGAACACTAGCCAGTGTTCCCCTTCCTTTTGAGACCCATGCTGACTATCAAGCACCAGGGATGCAGCAAGCACACAAAGTCCCCCAATTTATCAATGTCTGTACTTACAAGGCCAAAGGACAGAATGGTAGCCTCCTTCCAATCTTCCAAGCAAAACCCTCCAGTGATACCAGACAGAGCTTTGGCAGACAGCTCCCCTCAGTCAACTTACTGTAGAACCAGGGTCACTCTCTCTAACTTCAGGACCTCAGGTCGACCAATCTGAGGCCGCATGGCAGCCAGTGCCAGGTGAGGCAAGCCTGCCTCCAGCCTAGTTTGGTCCAATCCTCTCCCAGGAAAGACTCTGAACCCATGTGCTCACAGAACATAAATGCCAATCCCAGCATGCAATGGGACTGCCCTCCTCTGCAATTGGCCAGGACGGTATCCATATTCATGCTGCTCATTTGCCTAGTTCCTTCCCAGGTTCTGGAAGGCTCTCATAGCTTCCTGAAGGCGGCAGAGCTCAAGGCAAACTCAGCAGCACCAGAGCGTAATGAGCAGACCTGACTAATCCATCACAGTACTCTGTTAAGCAGAGAGCCCAAGTAGATTTTCCAAACAGCCTCTCTTAAGCAAAGAAACACAGCTACAGTTGTGACCAAAATTATTCAACCCCCACTGAAATTGAGTGTTTTGGCCAGTTTGACATTGCTTTTGATCATTCAGTCATCTTGCTTACATTTACATTAAAGAGGCACTTGTAGGTCAGACAAATATAACATAACAGTTATAATGAAATAACCACAAATGTCTTTTCTGTGCTCACAGCATTATCAGTTTTATTCAACCCCCAAGTGACATTCAATCTTAGTACTTAGTACAGCATCCTTTTACAGTTATAACAGCTTTTAAACGTGAAGCATAGCTTGACACAAGTGTCTTGCAGCGATCTACGGGTATCTTCGCCCATTCTTCATGGGCAAAGGCCTCCAGTTCAGTCACATTCTTAGGCTTGCGCACTGCAACTGCTTTCTTTAAGTCCCACCAGAGGTTCTCAATCGGATTTAAGTCTGGTGACTGCGATGGCCACTCCAAAATGTTCCAGCCTTTCCTCTGCAACCATGCTCTAGTGGACTTGGAGGTATGCTTGGGATCATTGTCCTGTTGAAAGATCCAACGTCTCCCAAGCCTCAGGTGTGTGACGGACTGCATCACGTTTCCATCCAATATCTCCTGGTACTGAAGAGAATTCATGGTACCTTGCACACGCTGAAGCTTCCCTGTACCTGCAGAAGCAAAACAGCCCCAAAGCATGATTGACCCTCCACCATGCTTCACAGTAGGCAAGGTGTTCTTTTCATCATAGGCCTTGTTCTTCCTCCTCCAAACATAGCGTTGATCCATGGGCCCAAACAGTTCTAATTTTGTTTCATCAGTCCACAGAACACTATCCCACAACTTTTGTGGTTTGTCCACATGGCTTTTGGCATACTGCAGTCGACTCTTCTTATTCTTTGGAGACAGCAAGGGGGTACGCCTGGGAGTTCTGGCACGGAGGCCTTCATTACGCAGTGTGCGTCTTATTGTCTGGGCTGAAACTTCTGTACCCACATCTGACAAATCTTTTCTCAGTTCCTCAGCAGTCACACGGGGACTTCTCTCCACTCTACGCTTCAGGTAGCGCACAGCAGTCGAAGTCAGCATCTTCTTTCTGCCACGACCAGGTAGCGTTTCAACAGTGCCCTTTGCCTTGAATTTGCGAATGATGCTTCCTAAGGTGTCTCTTGGTATGTTTTAACATCTTTGCAATCTTCTTATAGCCATTGCCCTTCCTGTGAAGAGAAATCACCTCTTCTCTTGTCTTCCTGGACCATTCTCTTGCCTTCACCATGTTTGTAACCACACCAGTAAATGTCTAGAAGGAGCTGAGTATCACAGTCATTTTAAAGCTGCCTAATTGGTGCTTATTATGCTTGATTGCTGCTCGGTGACATCCACAGGTGTTTTCAATACCTGATGGAAAGCACCTGTATGAACCTCTGTTCTTCAGAGTGGTAGTCTTTAAGGGGTTGAATAATTGTGGCAATGAAGAAACCACATAAGAACCATTTACTACTGTATTACATAAACAATTGATGTCATTTTAGTTGCATTTGGGTAGTTACAACGTCCTTGTAGGATTTGATTCTGAATACAATTCCAAATGTACACTATAGTCCCTAAACCCCTTTACAGCATTGGGGGTTGAATAATTTTGGTCACAACTGTATGCTTAACCTAACCATACAAATCCTAGCACCTACCTACGAGGGTGCTACACTTAAATTACCATAGTAATTAATTGTAGTAACCAGCCTTTGAGAACTTGCAAACACTGCTTGTTAGGAAATCTTAGGGGAAACAGTGATCAGAAAGGTCCAAAAACTTGTTTGTTTGCTATTGTTTTCCCACAGATAAGAGGGCATCAGAAGTGTCTGCATATTCAAATGTGAACTTAAAGCAGTTTTAAAACCCAAAGCCAAAATTGTAATATATTGCAGCTTACCATTCATTGGATGTAGTGGGTATTAATTTTCTTTTTCAGGCTTTTCCCCTCTTTTCACCTGGTGATCTGGCAAGTAGCACACTTTCTGTAATAGAGAGCCCCCATTCTGGATGAAGGAGCACAGGTTGTACCTATTGAACAGCAGCACTGCAAGTCTGGAGGTACGGGAGTGTACCCCCCCCCCCCCCCAATACCACCTTCCAGACTAAACCACAACTACATCTCAGTCCTGTCTTCTTTCAGAGTTCTTCAAACTTTGGCTTTGTTAGTGGTACTCAATAGAGATGAGCGAAGTATTCAAAATTCGATTCGACTGATTCGGCGAATTTGTGGAAAAATTTCGATTCGAGTCGAATATATTCGCTGTGAATTTAACTTAAAAAAGGGTGTTTCTAGGCTTCAGAGAGACTTAATATTAGTGCAGAACACTGTACCTTTAATTTAAATGCCCTTGGAGTCTGCTGGGGAAGAGAAATAATACTGTCAGTCAGTATGACATGCAGATGAGTGCCGTCGATCTTAGAATCACCGCACACTTCACTCATTTGGGCAGTCACGGGGCCAAAACCAGAGTGTGGAGCCACAGTGTGGCGGTGGAGGCAGCAGCAATGGGAGGCCATACAGCACCCTATGACAAAAATGAAACCACCAGCAGTGTGAGGAGACCTGAAAGTGGCACATGGCAGAGTGTGGCGATAGAGACAGCAGCAATGGGAGGCCGTACAGGGACCCATGACACACTCTGGACCTGGCAGCAGCATGAGGAGGCGGTACAGGGGCCCATGACAGATTACGGGCCTGGCAGCAGCATGAGGAGTCGGTACGGGGGCCCATGGCAGATTACGGGCCTGGCAGCAGCAATGGGAGGCCGTACAGGGACCCATGACACACTCTGGACCTGGCAGCAGCAGCAGCATGGGGAGGCGGTACAGGGGCCCATGACAGATTACGGGCCTGGCAGCAGCATGAGGAGTCGGTACGGGGGCCCATGACACACTCTGGACCTGGCAGCAGCATGAGGAGGCGGTACAGGGGCGCATGACAGATTACGAGCCTGGCAGCAGCAACTTGGACAGGAGGACGTTCAGCTTCTGCACCGTCGGGTGCGTGCTCGCAAACTGTTGTCTCTTGGAAACGGATTCCAAGAAAGACTGCTGACGGAATCCGTGAAGAGGAGTAGCAGGAGAAGGAGCATCTGAACGAGCGGAATATGCCAACAAGTGACAACAGGGGCCCATGACAGATTACGGGCCTGGCAGCAGCATGAGGAGTCGGAACGGGGGCCCATGGCAGATTAGGGGCCTGGCAGCAGCTATGGGAGGCCCGTAATCTGCCAGCACCCTATGAAAAAAATGGAACCCACCAGCAGTGTGAGGAGACCTGAAAGTGGCACATGGCAGAGTGTGGCGATGGAGACAGCAGCAATGGGAGGCCGTACAGGGACCCATGAGAGACTCTGGACCTGGCAGCAGCAGCATGAGGAGGCGGTATAGGGGCCCATGGCAGATTAGGGGCCTGGCAGCAGCTATGGGAGGCCCGTAATCTGCCAGCACCCTATGTCAAAAAATTCAACACACAGCAGTGTGAGGAGAGACCTGAAAGTGGCACATGGCAGAGTGTGGCGATGGAGACAGCAGCAATGGGAGGCCGTACAGGGACCCATGACAGACTCTGGACTTGGCAGCAGCATGAGGAGGCGGTATATAGGGGCCTATGGCAGATTAGGGGCCTGGCAGCAGCTATGGGAGGCCCGTAATCTGCCAGCACCCTATGTCAAAAAATTCAACACACCAGCAGTGTGTGAGGAGACCTGAAAGTGGCACATGGCAGAGTGTGGCGATGGAGACAGCAGCAATGGGAGGCCGTACAGGGACCCATGAGAGACTCTGGACTTGGCAGCAGCATGAGGAGGCGGTATATAGGGGCCTATGGCAGATTAGGGGCCTGGCAGCAGCTATAGGAGGCCCGTAATCTGCCAGCACCCTATGTCAAAAAATCTGAACACACCAGCAGTGTGTGAGGAGACCTGAAAGTGGCACATGGCAGAGTGTGGCGATGGAGACAGCAGCAATGGGAGGCCGTACAGGGACCCATGACAGACTCTGGACCTGGCAGCAGCATGAGGAGGCGGTATATATAGGGGCCTATGGCAGATTAGGGGCCTGGCAGCAGCTATGGGAGGCCCGTAATCTGCCAGCACCCTATGTCAAAAAATTCAACACACCAGCAGTGTGTGAGGAGACCTGAAAGTGGCACATGGCAGAGTGTGGCGATGGAGACAGCAGCAATGGGAGGCCGTACAGGGACCCATGACAGACTCTGGACCTGGCAGCAGCATGAGGAGGCGGTATATAGGGGCCCATGGCAGATTAGGGGCCTGGCAGCAGCTATGGGAGGCCCGTAATCTGCCAGCACCCTATGTCAAAAAACTGAACACACCAGCAGTGTGTGAGGAGACCTGAAAGTGGCACATGGCAGAGTGTGGCGATGGAGACAGCAGCAATGGGAGGCCGTACAGGGACCCATGACAGACTCTGGACCTGGCAGCAGCATGAGGAGGCGGTATATAGGGGCCTATGGCAGATTAGGGGCCTGGCAGCAGCTATGGGAGGCCCGTAATCTGCCAGCACCCTATGACAAAAAATTGGAACACACCAGCAGTGTGTGAGGAGACCTGAAAGTGGCACATGGCAGAGTGTGGCGATGGAGACAGCAGCAATGGGAGGCCGTACAGGGACCCATGACAGACTCTGGACCTGGCAGCAGCATGAGGAGGCGGTATATAGGGGCCTATGGCAGATTAGGGGCCTGGCAGCAGCTATGGGAGGCCCGTAATCTGCCAGCACCCTATGTCAAAAAATTCAACACACCAGCAGTGTGTGAGGAGACCTGAAAGTGGCACATGGCAGAGTGTGGCGATGGAGACAGCAGCAATGGGAGGCCGTACAGGGGACCCATGACAGACTCTGGACCTGGCAGCAGCATGAGGAGGCGGTATATAGGGGCCTATGGCAGATTAGGGGCCTGGCAGCAGCTATAGGAGGCCCGTAATCTGCCAGCACCCTATGAAAAAATGGAACACACCAGCAGTGTGAGGAGACCTGAAAGTGGCACATGGCAGAGTGTGGCGATGGAGACAGCAGCAATGGGAGGCCGTACAGGGACCCATGACAGACTCTGGACCTGGCAGCAGCATGAGGAGGCGGTATATAGGAGCCTATGGCAGATTAGGGGCCTGGCAGCAGCTATGGGAGGCCCGTAATCTGCCAGCACCCTATGACAAAATGGAACACACCAGCAGTGTGAGGAGACCTGAAAGTGGCACATGGCAGAGTGTGGCGATGGAGACAGCAGCAATGGGAGGCCGTACAGGGACCCATGACAGACTCTGGACTTGGCAGCAGCATGAGGAGGCGGTATATAGGGGCCTATGGCAGATTAGGGGCCTGGCAGCAGCTATAGGAGGCCCGTAATCTGCCAGCACCCTATGTCAAAAAATCAACACACCAGCAGTGTGAGGAGACCTGAAGTGGCACATGGCAGAGTGTGGCGATGGAGACAGCAGCAGCAATGGGAGGCCGTACAGGGACCCATGACAGACTCTGGACCTGGCAGCAGCATGAGGAGGCGGTATATAGGGGCCTATGGCAGATTAGGGGCCTGGCAGCAGCTATGGGAGGCCCGTAATCTGCCAGCACCCTATGTCAAAAAATTCAACACACCAGCAGTGTGTGAGGAGACCTGAAAGTGGCACATGGCAGAGTGTGGCGATGGAGACAGCAGCAATGGAGGCCGTACAGGGACCCATGAGAGACTCTGGACTTGGCAGCAGCATGAGGAGGCGGTATATAGGGGCCCATGGCAGATTAGGGGCCTGGCAGCAGCTATGGGAGGCCCGTAATCTGCCAGCACCCTATGTCAAAAAATTCAACACACCAGCAGTGTGTGAGGAGACCTGAAAGTGGCACATGGCAGAGTGTGGCGATGGAGACAACCCACCGACTGTTTGCTCGCTGCCAAGCTGCCACCCTCTTCTCCTGATGATGCGGAAGCAATAGCCTGATGACGACGAGGCTGCCAAGTGCGATCAGCCCTCATCATCATCAATTAGGGTCTCCGCCTCACTACTAGCCCCCTCGGCAATTGCGTGTGGGTCAGGAGACAGACCTGTCTCTACACCGGCTACCGAGCCACTCTCTCCTCGCCACTACTTCTTCGCCTGGCTGCTGAAGAGGCGGATGTCTCCCCCCGTTCCTGACCGCCCTCTGTTAGCTCTTCCTCACTGTACTGGATGACACCGGGAGCACTAGCCTCTGGCTGCGAATAGTGCTGCCTCGACCCCTTCCTCTGCTGCCACGTCTGCTCGCTCCTAAAACATTCTTGTCCTCCTCTGCCACTCCTCTGCATGTTGTCTGACATACTCTTTAATTAAACGATTCTGTGTCCCTGAGTAACAATTCTGTGTCCCTGAGTAACGTTTCTGTGGCCCTAAGTAACAGTTCTGTGGCCCTAAGTAACAGTTCTGTGGCCCTCAGTAACAATTCTGTGTCTGTCCCTGAGTAACAATTCTGTGTCCCTCAGTAACAATTCTGTGTCCCTCAGTAACAATTCTGTGTCCCTCAGTAACAATTCTGTGTCCCTAAGTAACAATTCTGTGGCCCTCAGTAACAATTCTGTGTCCCTCAGTAACAATTCTGTGTCCCTCAGTAACAATTCTGTCCCTCAGTAACAATTCTGTGTCTGTCCCTGAGTAAACAATTCTGTGTCTGTCCCTGAGTAACGTTTCTGTGGCCCTAAGTAACAGGTTCTGTGGCCCTCAGTAACAATTCTGTGTCCCTGAGTAACAATTCTGTGTCTGTCCCTGAGTAACAATTCTGTGGCCCTAAGTAACGGTTCTGTGGCCCTCAGTAACAATTCTGTGTCCCTGAGTAACAATTCTGTGTCCCTCAGTAACAATTCTGTGTCCCTCAGTAACAATTCTGTGTCTGTCCCTGAGTAACAATTCTGTGTCTGTCCCTGAGTAACGTTTCTGTGGCCCTAAGTAACGGTTCTGTGGCCCTCAGTAACAATTCTGTGTCCCTCAGTAACAATTCTGTGTCTGTCCCTGAGTAACAATTCTGTGTCTGTCCCTGAGTAACAATTCTGTGTCCCTGAGTAACAATTTTCTGTGGCCCTAAGTAACAATTCTGTGGCCCTCAGTAACAATTCTGTGTCTGTCCCTGAGTAACAATTCTGTGTCTGTCCCTGAGTAACAATTCTGTGTCCCTGAGTAACAATTCTGTGGCCCTAAGTAACAATTCTGTGGCCCTCAGTAACAATTCTGTGTCTGTCCCTGAGTAACAATTCTGTGTCTGTCCCTAAGTAACAATTCTGTGGCCCTAAGTAACAATTCTGTGGCCCTCAGTAACAATTCTGTGTCCCTCAGTAACAATTCTGTGTCTGTCCTGAGTAACAATTCTGTGGCCCTGAGTAACAATTCTGTGGCCCTAAGTAACGTTCTCTGTGGCCCTCAGTAACAATTCTGTGTCCCTCAGTAACAATTCTGTGTCCCTGAGTAACAATTCTGTGTGGCCCTAAGTAACAATTCTGTGGCCCTCAGTAACAATTCTGTGTCCCTGAGTAACAATTATGTGGCCCTAAGTAACAGTTCTTCTGTGTCCCTCAGTAACAATTCTGTGTCCCTCAGTAACAATTCTGTGTAACAATTCTGTCCCTGAGTAACAATTCTGTGGCCCTAAGTAACGTTTCTGTGGCCCTCAGTAACAATTCTGTGTCCCTGAGTAACAATTCTGTGCCCTAAGTAACGTTTCTGTGGCCCTCAGTAACAATTCTGTGCCCTCAGTAACGTTTTCTGTGGCCCTAAGCCCTAAGTAACAATTCTGTGTCCCTGAGTAACAATTCTGTGGCCCTAAGTAACGGTTCTGTGGCCCTCAGTAACAATTCTGTGTCCCTGAGTAACAATTCTGTGGCCCTAAGTAACGGTTCTGTGGCCCTCAGTAACAATTCTGTGGCCCTCAGTAACAATTCTGTGTCTGTCCCTGAGTAACAATTCTGTGGCCCTAAGTAACGGTTCTGTGGCCCTCAGTAACAATTCTGTGTGTCCCTGAGTAACAATTCTGTGGCCCTAAGTAACGGTTTTCTGTGGCCCTCAGTAACAATTCTGTGGCCCTCAGTAACAATTCTGTGTCTGTCCCTGAGTAACAATTCTGTGGCCCTAACTAACGTTTCTGTGGCCCTAAGTAACATTCTGTGGCCCTCAGTAACAATTCTGTGTCCCTGAGTAACAATTCTGTTTCTGTGTGGCCCTAAGTAACAATTCTGTGGCCCTCAGTAACAATTCTGTGTCTGTCCCTGAGTAACAATTCTGTGGCCCTAACTAACGTTTCTGTGGCCCTAAGTAACAATTCTCTGGCACTCAGTAACAATTCTGTCTGTCCCTGAGTAACAATTCTGTGGCCCTAACTAGCGTTTCTTTGGCCCTAAGTAACGATTCTGTGGCCCTCATTAACAATTCTGTGTCCCTGAGTAATGCTTCTCTGTCCCTAAGTAACGTTTCTCTGTCCCCAAGTAACGTTTCTGTGGCCCTAACTCTGTCCCTAATACAGAGCGGTCTGCCTCTCTTGAATGACTGGAGGCAAATGAAGAATTCTAAAATGGCCGCTATTTATAGCTCGACCATTACACAGTGCTGGCTGCCTGGCTGCTGATTGGCTAATGCGATCACATGTCATTAAGGAATGCATTATGGGTCAGCGCGCCTTGTCTGCGCGCCTTCCCAGACATCCCCGCTCCGTCGCCGCACATGTCCGCCGCCATTTTAGGAAAAATTTCGATTCGCGCGTCCGAACACTTCTTGTCTGTACTGTTTGTTGTTATGTAGAAGATCTCCACATTGTAACTTTATATAAACTGCTTCCATTAATGTGCTTAAACCTCTGCAGTCTAGCTAAAAGCAGATTAAGAGATGACACCTCTTCACCTGCATGCTTATTCCACATTTGTTTCTCATAAACAGGTTGTTTTAGCATGTATTCCCATGACACTGGCTCAGACTGCATCAATGAAAGACCCATAAATGACAAGTGTACTGCCCTTATTGAATCTCACAGATTTTATGACTTGGGTTGCAGGCAGTTCAGATTCTTCCTCAGAGAATAAATCACTAATACTGATTTGAATTTCATTGATGTTCTTTTTGTTTTCCTGCAGTACTGGTGGAGCTTCTTGCTTAGGTTGATTTGCAGACAGAGATGATTATAGGTCATTTCAAAAATAAATACACTTCCACTGATTATTACCTTGTTGGTTCTGGTTTGTCAGATTAGTGACTGAACTTTTTTATAAAACTCGCAACCATCATATGTTGTAACTCTGAGCTTTATCTGCAGCAGTATTTAGTACTTTGGTTGTAGTTGGGCCCATATCATATTAAAAAGCTGCTGCAGATATGACTCTTACAAGTCAAGATTATTTTGGACCCATGGAAGAGCTCTTTTTGTGTTATTGGAAAATGACAGGAACACAGAGACAGGAAATTACATCATAATCATGTAGTTTCACTAAGAAGAACATTACATTATGAAAGCATCAAATACGACAGCACCTCCTAATGGCATAAATACTAATCACAGTATATGAGAATGATTGTTGCACCTATGTCTGTATGAATAGCATGCTTGCTGTAAGAAATGGTTGAAACAAAAATAAGCCTGCAAATCTCATAATAATAGGAATTTAATTATTTTAGTACTGTTTTATTTTATTATTAATTAAGATCTGAACAAAATACAATATTTTTTTGGTATTGTTTGTGCTTTCTTTTAAAGCCAGCATATGGAGCACTAGTCTCATCTTCCCATTTTCCAGTGTATGTTACCTATTTAAAGTGAATTAGTGAATCTGTGCCCAGACTATATAATAATATATTCTAAACAAGCTGTATGAACACCCTATTCCACCTCTGAGGCTTTAGATATTGTGGAGAAGTTCATCTTTAAGTATTACAAAAAAGGCATTACTCAATTCATCCTATTCCCTAAGGCAGCAAAGACCCGGCAGCTTCTAGCTTTCTAATGCAAACAAACAGCAGGTGCTGGTAAGCTGTTAGAAAGTCATTTAAACCCAACTTTAAAGCCCCTATTGTGACCTTTGAGATGTAATCAGTATATTTTAGATAGGCCAGTTGGGCTTATTTTAAGCTATTTTACTGCTTGTTAAGAATATGTAAACACTTTAAAGCGGAGTTCCACCAAAAAGGGGAAGTTCCTCTTTAATGCTTTGCCCCTCGCTCCCCATTAGGATGGCACCTTTGGGGAGCGGGGGGGAGTGGGTACCCCAAATTTGACAGGTACTTGCTCCCACTTCCACTGCAATCGTCTAGGCAATCGGAAATGGAAGTTGTCCTCCCTCCCCATAGTCTTCTGGGACACATGACAGGTCCCAGAAGACTACGGGGCCATTCACATTCACAAAGCGCTGCACTTCTCGTGCATGAGCAGTGGGCACCCTGGCTGTGAAGCCGCAAGCTGTCACAGCCGGGTGCCCACACTAAAGGTGCTGGCGCCAGGGAGAGAAGACCGCAAGTGAAACCAGCGGTGGTGAGGACACCGCTGGACCGAGGGACAGCTAAGTGGCTGTATTTTAAAAGTCAGCAGCTACAGTTTTTTGTAGCTACTGACTCTTGTTTTTTTTTTTTTTTCCAGCTGGAATTCCGCTTTAAGATGCATATTCTAGGCACAAGTGAACTTTAATACAGGGCCTGAAAAAGCCCATTGGTTAGAGAACTTTCCACAACTTTCTGGGTTCCCCGCATATTTGCAGCTATATTATATATTCTAAACAAGCAGTAGAGGCATTAGAAATCAAGTTCTCATTCACATGTAGCTATAGGCATTGTACAGAAATTCATCTTTAAATTTTCACAACTGTGTGGTTGAAATCTTAGCTCTTTTTCTTACTACTATCTATTGCAACAGAATCTTGGCCTCTAATGCTAACACAGAGCAGGCATTTCTAAACTGTTAGAAATTGGCTGAAACCTGACTTTTGAGCCTTTCCTCAAGCTTAACCTCTCCAAAACCGAACTCCTCATCTTTCCCCCTGCCCCACACCCCCCCCCCCCCCAGCCTATCCATCACCACCACCAACACCACTATCATTCCCGCCCCGCAAGCCAAAGTCCTTGGCGTCATTCTTGACTCGAACCTCTCCTTCCTCCCTCATGTCAAATCACTTGCAAACACCTGCAGGCTCCATCTCCGCAATATTGCCAAGATACGTGCCTTCCTCACCCCAGACACCACCAAACTTCTTGTACACTCCCTCATCATCTCACGCCTTGACTACTGCAAACTCTCTTCTCATTGGCCTACCCAAGTGCAGGCTCTCCCCACTCCAGACCATCCTGAACTCAGCGGCCAGACTCATCCACCTCACCACCCGCTCCACCTCTGCCACCCCCCTCTGCCTCTCCCTCCACTGGCTCCCGATTGCCCAACGCATCAAATTTAAACTTCTAATCCTGACCTACAAAGCCGTTCATAACACTGCCCCTGACTACCTCACCAACCTGATCCCCAAGTACCACCCTACCCGTACCCTTCGCTCCTCACAGGACCTCCTTCTATCCTGCTCCCTGGTCTCCTCCTCCCATGCACGACTGCAGGACTTCTCCAGGTCCTCCCCTATCCTCTGGAACTCACTGCCCCAATCCATCCGACTGTCGCCTTCCCTCCCCACAGTCAGGTGCTCCCTCAAAACCCATCTCTTCAGGGAAGCCTACCCCACCCTCACCTAACGGCCATCCTCCCTTATTCCTCCCACCACTTCATCCCCCTCAGCCACTTCATTCCCCTCAGCCACTTCCTATTGTTCCACTACCCCCTCCCTCCTAGATTGTAAGCTTGAAAGAGTAGGGCCCTCTTACCCCTCGTACGCTGTCTGTTTTTGTTGTACTGTGCCATGTATTGTCCCCCCTATTGTACAGCACTGAGCAAACCCTTTGGCGCTATATAAACTCGATGTAATAATAATAATTTCTTGTGATCTTTAAGGATTATTAAGAATGATAACGTTACAGTACAAGCAGGAAGAGTAGTTAAAGTGTATAATTCTATTTTTCACATACGTGTTTGTTTCTGTTTATACTTCCTTTTAAATGTTGTCTGTTTTGTTCTGATATGGCATGCTTGTATCTATCGTGGTCAGTTTAGCTGGCACACCCCCCTGCTGCAACTGGCTGTGAGAGTGGCAGAGAACGATTAGCCAATCAGCGCCTTTGTATTGTAGCTGTAGCCTGTAGCTGCATGGATCACAGTTTTGGTTTTTGTAAATGTGTTTTTTTCTTTCTCTCCACAGGTCTAAAGTAACTGTGCGGACATCCTACTTGAATGTGGCTAGATGTGAAAAGGATAACTTTCTGCAATCTCTATAGCATGGAAAACGTAATGGATTATAAAGCACATAAGGACAGATACATTTAGCAAATCTTTAACAGGAAAATAATGTGAAAAACAGCACTCCAAGCAATCAAAATAAGCATAGTTAAGGTCTATAACAACACTAAGAAATCCCAAGGCAGCTAAAGAGGTGGAAGAGAATATTAATATCAAATCAAAAAAAGAAACAGAAGCAAAAAATACGTATATATGAATACTTTCTGGGAAAGGAAGTAGAAGTAACACCAAATGACCGCAAACTATTTTACTGTTGCGGGTAGAAAAAAGTTAAAATAATTAAAATGCAAATGTTGACATACATCATTATCAGGTTGCTAAATTTAAAAAAAATCACTTAGGAAGAAATTGAATCAGGCCTAAAGAAAAACAAAATAAAAAAATACTCCTAAATTTAACATATCAAGTTTTACGCAACATTGTACATTTCACACATCATCAATGAGGTGTTTCTAATGCAATGCAGTCCGATGACCTCTTTGTCCGTAAACTGCGCCAACCACCATCCCAATCATCCCCTCACAAGAGTCCTCGTGAGGTTAAGTCTCTAATTACCTCAGGAAATAGCAGACATAACGGTGGGGCACGGTCCCATTCAGAGTCAGAGTACAACCCTCGGGATAAAGGAACTGGAAGCCCGTCTGCCCCACGTTTTAAAGATCCTTTCATACTGCTTGGGCTGGCAGGAAACAGCCAAGGGCCAGTGGCCCTGGAGGTAAAAGAAAAACCACCTGAAGGAGATCCTGTAACCCCACGTCCTAAAAGTTTTGCTCATCATGACATTCAGAGTATATTGTTTGATCCCTTCAAAAGGAGAGAATCTGAAGGAAGAAAGAATGTAAGAAGTGGTGCTTCTGCTGCCTCTCAGCTCAAAGCTTGCACTTCATCACCCAGGAGATCTTTGTCATCCCCTGAAGATCCAGGTGATTCTGGTGATGGAAAAGACAGTGAGCTATTACTTAGCTGCCCATATTTCCGCAATGAAGTTGGAGGAGAAGAGAAAGAAGGCCAAAAAGATCAAGGATGGGACTTTTGTTCTCTTTTTTCATTCAATTCACCACTTATCAATTGTCCAGTCAGGGGACCCAATGCAGCTGTTTCTGTGTTGGAAGAAGCTAGAGAAAGGTTGAGAGATTGCAGTTACTTTGTTGAATATCAAGATCTGGGTGCACTATATTATCGAAAGTATTTTTATGGCAAAGGTTAGTAATATTTTATTTTTTGCTCATTTATTTTTTCAGAGGCCACTGTTTTGAGTATACTTTTGTGTTTCTCTCTCTTAAGAAACTTACCTTTCGCTGCTTTGTTTCTATCAGAACATCAGAATTTTTTTGGGGTTGATGAGAGACTCGGGCCTGTGGCCATAAGTTTGAGACGAGATGAAAGAGATGGCGTACAAGGCATACAGTATAACTATAGAATTATATTTCGAACAACTGAGGTAAAGAAAGCATTTTGTTATCTTTTTTTTAATATATTAGAGTAGAAATATGGTCAAAGGTCAAAATTACATATATACTGTAGTCAATGCAAATCATTACTATATATATATATATATATATATATATATATTATATATATATATATATATATATATATACATATCAAATTTTTTTAGCATCTTTAGCAATACAGTTTAAATACCTGTTGTTCCTTCCAGTTCATCGCTTGAATCCCGACTTTTTCAAGGCAATAGTGCTGTTGCTAATACAGTGAGGTCGCTGCAGCACTGTCACACTGCAACTTCACTGTAGGTGAATGGATGTGAGGATGTATGGAGTGAATGAGCTATTAGCATTGTCACCCACCTTCATTCTGCCAGACAAATGTAAAGCAATGCTTGTGTAAGTGAATGCACATTGTTCTCCAAAGGTGCAGCAATGGCTTGCACAGCTAGTAAATGTCATTATAAATAAGGAAAGGAAAGGTAAAACATGCATTAATATGTATTGCACTGTATTTTTGAAAGATCCCATTTCAGTTTATTTCAATATCACAAAACAAGGAAAATAGCATAAATATACCATGTGGACCTTTTGCCCGATGCACAACCATAGGATGCATTGGTCGAAACATGTCCTATATAAAACAAAATGTAATTTCTTAGGTCTGTGGATTTTTCCTGCACTGAGAACACAGCAAAATAAATGACAACACACCTTGTTTCTTGGGGCTAGGTGCTAAATAGTGGGTACTAAGGTACACAGTAAAACAGGAAGCTGTATTTACAAATAATAAAATGGTAGCATGTAGTTTAAACAGCAATTTTTACTGTTTTGAGAATATTTTTCAACATGTAAACATGTCAGTACTGTTCACCTACAAATCAGATTGAGCTGAAATATGGCCTTAAAAATTGTTTTATATTCTCATTATGATTTCTGGATAACAAGGAAGCTTTTATAAAATCTAAATCTAAATAATTGTTATGCTAGATACATGCATTTTAGTTTAAAATTAATTATTTTAATTTCTTCTCTGTACCTAATGTAAAAGATATAATATACAAGTACAAACATGGGTGTCTACTACTGGCAAAAAAGCAAATGGTATGGGATATATACAGAACACAATTACAATACATAGGAAAACATAGGACAGACAATTAAAATACGGCCTACTTTTTAAATAAGGTACATTATATTGTTGAGAAAGAAGTTTCCATGAGACTTAGCAAGAACCAAAGAAAGTTCCAGAAAGACCAAGCCGTACTTGTCTTGAGGCTTTGTCTCCACTCTAAATTAAGAACATAATCTTTGCCTCCAGTACAGATTGAGAGCATAAGCACATCCCTGCTATTCCAGTTGCCAGCAGTGTTGCCAACCTCCCGCAGCATTTTTTACTGACGAAACATTGAACATTTACTGACGGAGCACATTTTTAACTGACAACCAAAAATGTTTTTAAAAACTAAGACAATCACTCTTTAAACAGTATCAACACAATATGGAAACACTGACAATACCCATAACAAGTCTTTTGACTGGTTTATACTTACAGAAGTCTACACAGCATGACAAATTACAAGCCCCTGATATTTACAGACAGTTGTAAAAATCACTGATTTTTACAAACTGTCCATAAATTTACTGACAGTTGGCAACCCTGGTTTCCAGTGGTGTACATCTCTATTGGCTTTTGGTGTGCCCAGTTGAACAGTGTGATGGTGGGTGGAATGTCAAAAGTTGGAGACAAAATTGGAAAATTGCAGTCTTTGCTTGCAAGTTCTGCAGCACTCTACACCAGCTTTTTTCCACACTTTTCTGTCCTACAGTCTGACCACCAAGGCTCTGGTCCACTGACTATTGTATAAAGATGCATATTTATTATTTATTAATTTATATACATAGATGAAATCGAACACCTGCAATGTTAATGCAGCATACTCTCAGCTTTTTTGCTGTTTAATTATTCAAACTATCAGAATGGCTAATTTAACATTTTTCTTTTCTGATAAATCCTTTGCATTCTCGTTAAATCGGTGTTCACCTTTTTGCACTTTATTTATTTTTCGTTTCTTTCCCTCTTTGTCTATTTGAAGTTGAAGACACTTCGTGGTTCAATTCTAGAGGAAGCCTTTCCTTCATCCATCCGCTCTAGCTCTTCCAGAGCTATATCCCCAAAAAAACTTTTGGAATACATTGTACCAGAAGTGAACTTGCAATGTCTGCGCTTAGCATCCAACTCTCCCAAAGTGCCGGAAACTCTGCTAAAACTGGATGAACAGGGGGTAAGTGATAATTAGTTTACTGCTAAACTCATATAATGCTTTACATGAATATTTTTTTATTTGAACTTAGCATAACATTGTATCCAACCCTTAAAGGTGGAAGCTGATATACTTTTTAAAACTCCTTCCAACTATACATGTCCTTCTTGCACAAGATGCTTTTGACTTGCAATATTTGGTAGGTTAACAGAAAAGGTTTGATTTACCAAGAGATGGGTGAGATGGTTAGTCATACAAAGGTAATGTTCACTTTGCTAGGGTAAGTAAAGTGACGCAAATGTTCATATTGTTACAGTTAAGAAAAAGAAGTGCACACTTACTTGTTAAAAAAAATGGTTAGTAGAGCAATAAAAGAACAATTTATGCTAGTTCACTAGTATATTCACTACATACTATGGAAGCTCTACAGTATATTCTTCTAAATACTATTTTCTGCCTTTCAGCTATTACAGGGCAAAAAGAGAAAGGAAATCTCCCCAGTGGGACACAGAAAAAATCCTGACAAGGGTTTTACCCATCCCATACTGTATCCAAAGTGAAACCAACATTTTGGCTTTTATTACAATATATATGTTATGTCTATATATATTTGATAGCAAAATTAAATATTATTTTTGGTCAGTACACAGTGTCAGCAAAAGACAAACAAGTCATCATACATTATACAAGGAAACAAGAGATCACTGCAACAGTGACACAGATAGCAATAATTAAGTTTTAACACTTACCCAATTTATTTTACATGTTGTTTGAATATGAATTGTATTGATTACAGTTTTTTTATCGTTATATTTTATCACCCATATAATTATATCTTTAATTATTTATGTTTTTGTTATTTTATGTTGTACTTCTATGCCTGTGTGGGGAGTGACTTTAGAGCCACAAAATGCATTGTTTTGTGTGCTAAGAAAAGTTTTGTCTGACATTTGGCTAACTGCAATCCAATATGGAGTTCATCACTCCCACTAAAAATTGTTGGAATAGGAATTAGGGACGCCACTGCATGTTCTCTCAGTTGGAATATACTGGATTTATCTGTCAATCTTGCACTTTCCTTTGTTTAAAAGTCATTCATATATCAAATGAAGAATTTAATAAGTTATTCTTAAATTTGGTTACGAACCAAATTTGCTGTTACATAAACAGAGAATTTACCTATGTTTTCCTCAAAAATTAAGGACATTGTTAGCTATATTTAACAAGGCAAAAATAAAGTTCAGTAATGCACAGCAACCAATTAGAATTAATATGTAAGTAATGTAAATCCAGAAAAGAGAAATGTAATTAATTGTAAAGGTTTAAAACTACTCTAATTATTAGTGACAGTCTTATGCCATGTTAAGTATAATATTTGTATCATTATCTTCAGTTAATTATTCATGGTATAATTAGCTCTACTTGAAAGGTCTACAAGTTTGTTTCTGTAAGCAGCAGCTGCTTTGTGAAATATTTAGACATTATGCTTCCTGTGGGTAGTGAAATGTGGTCTGGTGGTTGTCTGAACAAATATTGCAGAATGTGGACCTGCACTTGTACAGTATGTAACTGAGGATGGAACTTTTAGAAGCAAAATAGCTGATACTCTGATCTACATCATTTGCAACTGACATGATTAATACACATTTTGGAACTGACAATAGGACCCGATCTTCTGACCTTACATGCTGGAAAATAAGAGAAAAAAATTAAAAGGGTTCCCATAGCATTGAACATACTATGAGCATATAGGATTATTATTATTATTATACAGTATTTATATAGCGCTAAAAGGTTTGCTCAGCGCTGTACATTATAGTGGGAGACAGAACATCAAACAACACAGTAACAAAACAAAGCATGAGGAGGTCAAGGGCCCTGCTCTTTCGAGCTTACAATCTAGGAGGGAGGGGATAGTGGTACAGGAGGAAGTGGCTGTGGGGGATGGAGTGGTAGGAGGAGTGGAGTAGATCGGCTGTTAGGTGAGGGTGGGGTAGGCTTCCCTGAAGAGATGGGTTTTCAGGGTGCGCCTAAAAGTGAGAAGGGTAGGTGACAGTCTGATGGATTGGGTTAGTGAGTTCCAGAGGATGGGGGAAGTCCTGGAGAAGCCCCTTGGGCGTGGGAGGTGGAGACCAGGGAGCTAGAAAGTAGGAGGTCTTATGAGGAGCGAAGAGTATGGGTTGGGTGGTTTTTGGGTATCAGGTCGTTGAGGTAGTTTGGGGCAGCGTTATGAATGGCTTTGTATGTCTGTGTTAGTAGTTTGAATTTAATGCGTTGGGCAATCAGGAGCCAGTGGAGGGAATGACAGAGGGGGGTGGCAGAAGCGGAGCGGTTGGTAAGGTGGATGAGTCTGGCCGCTGAGTTCAGGATAGACTGAAGCGGGGATAGTCTGTGATGAGGTAGGCCGGTGAGAAGGGAGTTGCAGTAGTTCAGACGTGAGATAATAAGGGAGTGAACGAGTTGCTCAGTAGTGTCTGGGGTTAGGAACATACATATTTTGGAGATGTTGCGGAAGTGGAGCCTGCATGAGTTTGCCAATGATGGACACGGGGTTGGAAGGACAGGTTTGAGTCTAGAGTGACACCTAGGACTTTGGCTTGTGGGGTCGGACTGATGGTGACGTTGTTGGTCGTGATGGAGGGGGGGGGGGGGGCGTGGGTTGGGGGCAAAATCAGGAGCTCGGTTTTGGAAAGGTTCAATTTGAGGAATTGGAGCGACATCCAGTCTGATATGTCGTTCAGTAGGTGGGTGATATGGGCGGAGACTGAAGGGGTGAGGCGAGGGGTGGAGAGGTAAATTTGCGTGTCATCGGCGTAGAGGTGATAGTTGAAGTTGTGGAAGTGTATCAGTTTGCTGAGGGAGGAGGTGTAGATGGAGAAGAGAAGGAGCCCGAGAACAGAGCCTTGGGGGACCCCAACAGAGAGGGGGAGGTGGCAACGTTATAGGTAACGCTGAAGGAGCGTTGGGATAGATAGGAGGAGAGCCAGGAGAGAGCGGAGTCTCTGATGCAGAGGGAGTGTAGTTTATTAAGGAGGAGGGGGTGGTCAACTGTGTCGAAGGCCGCGGAAAAAGGTCGAGGAGTAAGAGGACTGAGTAGTGGCCATTAGCTTTGGCGGTTAGCAGGTCATTAGTGATTTTGAGTAGGGCGGTTTCGGTGGAGTGTAGGGGATGGAAGCCAGACTCTAGTGGATCGAGGAGGTTGTTGTCAGTGAGGTGGGCGCTTAGGCGATTGTAGACTAAGCGCTCAAGGAGCTTGGAAGTAAATGGCAGCAGGGAGATAAGTCTAAGGTTGTTCAGGTCGGTGGGGTCCAGGGAGGGTTTTTTGAGTATGGGGGTGATGTGCTTTAGGGGGAGGGGAATGCGCCAGTAGAGAGGGAGAGATTGAAGATGTCGATTCGTAGATTTTACCTTCGTCCATGCCATATGGTAAAGCCAGTAAACCTCTTCATTAATTCCTGTATATAATACCTCAATATGGGTATGGATTAGCTGTAGAGGAAACCCAGCCATCAATAGACAGGATTCTATAACTTAAACCTGGTGTTCTGAAAGACCAAGTATTGAAGAAGGTTAGAGTATCTGTGGTTTCTGAAATGTGGTGACATCAATTTAAATTTAAAATAAAAAAGCTATAAATGAAGTGTAACTAAATTAAATTGAGTCACAAAATTACAACCAACATTAACAAGTGATCTACCGTAAACAAAAATGCCAAGCTTTTACCTACTTTATATATACTCAAACATTAAGGACATTATTACCTTTATTTTTTAAGGCATGGTACATTAAAAATTGATCTTGTACTTTATCAAGAAAAAACAGACACATAGGGGTTTATTTACTAAAGCTGGAGAGTCCAAAATCAGACTCCCTTCTGCATAGAAACCAATCAGCTTCTAACCTCAGCTTGTTCAATGAAGCTTTGGCAATGAAACCTGGAAGCTGATTGGTTTCTATGCAGAAGGGAGTCTGATTTTGGACTCTCCAGCTTTAGTAAATAAACCCCATAATGTTCATAAGACTCGCACTTTTCTTCTTCAGGACAGGTGAAATGAGACCTCCCTCTGTATCAGCACACAAGGAGGGTTATTTTCTGAAAGCCATATTGTTAAATTAAAAGCATTCATTAGATGCAGTAGAAATACATCTGTCATGTATCGAGCACACATGCCCACACCTAGAAGAAAAAGGAAGCAGAAGTAGCTAAGGGTGCAATGAATCGAAAGGTTGCAGGAAGTAAAAAAGGTGATTAAAAAATATTTTGAAGCAAAATTAATTTTGCTTTAACAGGAAAAAATATTCTTTCTGACTAGCATTAGATACATCCCCTTGATTATGTATATCTTATTTTATATATAGTGTGGCAGAGCGTCCCAAAAGAACCCTGGGAAAGTCCTGTTCAGGGTTTATAGATCTCCCAGGTTCCTTACCTATACTCTTAGGGAGCTCTGATATGAGGTCCAGTGCAGGGTTTACCTCTCTCCATGGGCAATTAAATCACCTGGGACCTGTAGACAGAGCTCTCAGCCTGGGGATCAGACAAGTCCTGTCTGGAGAGCTGAAAGGTTGGTGGAAACTAACTAGCTGTGTATGGTGTGGCTGACAAGTGGTAGGCTTGATCAGTCTGGTAGTTAGGACCTGCATTACTGTGTAGTGAGAGCCAGGACACAGCTAGGTTTTTTTTCCTTTGAAATTTTCCTGCCCTGTTTATTTTGGGTAAACACTGTACAGCACTTTGTATGTAGTCTTTTGTAAATAGCACTAATAAACACCTTCACTGATTACCACTAATCTCACTGGATTTGGTATCTGTGCCTGAAAGACTGCTTACCCCAGGAAGCATATATCCCGGCTGCCTGGCCCCAGCTCACTATATATATATATATATATATATATATATATATTTATGTGTGTATATATACATATATATATTTATATACATACATTATATTGCCAAAAGTATTGGGACACCCCTCCAAATCATTGGATTCAGGTGTTCCAATTACAAGCACCTAGGAATTCAGACTGCTTCTACAAACATTTTTGAAAGAATGGGTCACTCTCAGGAGCTCAGTGAATTCAAGCGTGGTACCGTGATAGGTTGCCACCTCTGCAGTAAGTCCATCTGTGAAATTTCCTTGCTACTAAATATTCCATAGTCAACCTTTAGTGGTATTATAACAAAGCAACTGGGAACAACAGCAACTCAGCCAGGAAGTGGTAGGCCACGTAACATATAACAGGGTGGGGTCAGCGCACGCTGAGGCACACAGTGCGCAGAAGTTGCCAACTGTCTGCAGAGTAAATAGCTAAAGACCTTCAAACTTTGTGTGGCCTTCAGATTAGCACAACAACAGTGCGTAGAGAGCTTCATGGAAAGGGTTTCCATGGCTGAGCAGCTACATCCAAACCTTACATCACCAAGTGCAATGCAAAGCATCAGATGCAGTGGTGTAAAGCACGCCGATAGTGGACTCTAGAGCAGTGGAGACATATTCTCTGGAGTGCCGAATCACGGAATGGACCCTTCCTTTTCCAACATGACTGCGCACCAGTGCACAAAGCAAAATTCATAAAGACATGGATAAGCGAGTTTGGGGTGGAGGAACTTGACTGGCCTGCACTTTGACCCAATAGCACATCTTTGGGATGAATTGGAGCGGAGACTGTAAGCCAGGCCTTCTCATCTGACATCAGCGCCTGACCTCACAAATGCGCTTCTGGAAGAATGGTCAAACATTCCCATAAACACACTCCTAAGCCTTGTGGACAGCCTTCCCAGAAGAGTTGAAAATAGGTAGAAATGGTCAGGTAATGTACACAGGGTTTGCACACGTGTGGAGTGCAGAACTGCGGAGCTTAGATTTTGAGTGGCGAACACTGCTGTTGCAGGTTTCTTCGGATTTTGAAATTTTTGGATGGGGCTCCGTAGTTTGGAGATTTCAAAATGCCTTGGGAGGGAAGAAATCTCCAATCCAGTGTCCAGGTTTTGTAGTCAACCAGCAGGGTGTGGGTCCAAGTGCTCACAGCCCTTATAATGGTGGTCTGCTGAGAGTTGCAGGGGGAGGGGAGTGCAGTTGGAGCAGTGGCTGCCATTGAGAGTCTTTGGTGAGACAGATGATGTGTGCATTAAAGGACTGAGGCTATGTGCATTAAAGAAGTCCAATGCTGTGTGCCGAGAATAGCCAGGGGTCTGGGAGACCCATACCAGCAGAGGTACTGCTGACCAGCAGTGCTAATGAGGAGTAACCAGAAGGCTTGGTATTTTTCATTTGTATTTACAACTGGAAAAGAACCTCTATGTGGGAAAGCTTATGTTGGACTTTTTTTTTTTGTTTCTTGCCTTTTTAATAAACATGGGCTACCAGGCCCTTAAATAGAGTTCCTGACAGACGTGAACTTACTTTGAAAAGCACCTACCACTAGAGCTAATCATCCCCCATGTCACAAGATATATATGTGTTCCCCAACATAAACTAAATTACAGAGGGACAATAGTGCATACACAACATAAGATGTTTGGCATGTATGGAATCCTCTGTTTGTATATTTTCAAAAAGTACCTTTTTTAAATGCTTACCGCAGGAAAAAAACAGTAAGAGATGAATTGGTACATTCGGATTTCAGAAAGAAAAAGTGAGGTAATTAGAACCTTTTTGGGCAGTAAGAGAAATGGGTGTTACCCTTGTCTCAACTGCATACAGTGTAATTTGATGACAAAAGGGGAATTTTTTATGAGGGGGTGAGCAAAACCTTGGACAGAGGGGTGGCGGTGGACGTGGTATACTTGGATTTTACAAAAGCGTTTGACACAGTTCCCCACACACGACTAATGTGTAAGGTAAATTCTACGGGCTTGGAAAAATCTGTATGTAAATGGATAGAAAACTGGCTAAAAGATAGTATTCAAAGAGTAGTGGTTAATGATTCATGCTCTGAATGGTCTAAGGTTGTCAGTGGTGTACCCCAAGGTTCAGTGTTGGGACCCTTACTTTTTAGTATATTTATAAATGATATAGGGTCTGGGATTAAAAATCCCATTTCAGTCTTTGCAGATGACACCAAGCTGTGCAGTGGAATAACGTCCTTACAGGATGTCTTCAAATTACAAGCCGAAAACGATGCACTGTTTAATTGGACATATATGTGGCAAATGAGGTTTAATGTTGATAAATGTAAGGTTCTGCACTTGGAGACTAAGAATATGCATGCATCATACATACTAGGGGGAGTACAGCTGGGGGAATCAATGGTGGATAAGGATCTGGGAGTTCTGGTAGATCACAAGCTTAATAATGGCATGCAATGCCAAGCTGTGGTTTCTAAAGTGAGCAAAATCCTCTCTTGTATTAAAAGAGGTATAGACTTGAGAGAGAGAGATATCATATTACCCCTGTACAAATCATTAGTAAGACCTCATCTGGAATATGCAGTTCAGTTTTGGGCATTAATTCACAACAAGAACATTGGGGAACTTGAGAAAGTACAGAGAAGGGCAACCAAACTGATATGCATGGAGGAGATCAGCTATGAGGAAATATTAGAGGAACTGAATTTACTCTTTCTTGAGAAGAGGAGATTAAGGAGGATATGATCAACATGTATAAATACATCAGTGGTTCATATAGTAAACTTGGTGTAGAGCTATTCACCCTGAGGTAATCACAGAGGACAAGGGGGCACTCTTTGTGTCTGGAGGAAAAGAAATTTCATCTCCAAACACGGAAAGGTTTCTTCACAGTGAGAGCTGTGAAAATGTGGAATAGACTCCCTCAAGATTTGGTTCTGGCCAGCCAGTGGATTGCTTCAAAAAAGGCCTGGATTCTTTCCTAGATACACAGAATATAACTGGATACTAACATTTTATAGATAAAATTGATCCAGGGAATATACGATTGCCTCTCTGGGGATCAGGAAGGATTTTTTTTTCCCAGCAGCAGCAAATTGGATAATGCTTTGCTGGGTTTTTTTGCCTTCCTCTGGATCAACTGTGGGTGTAGGATTATAAATTTTTTTTTTTTTTTTTTTTTATGGTCGAACTGGATGGACTTTTGTCTTTTTTCAGCCAGACTAACTGTGTAACTATGTAAAATCGCTCCTCCATTCATATCAAACAGCCAGGTTTGCAGTTTCCTAATCATTTTTATGGAATACAATCATAAAGACACTGATTTAAAATTTATGATATTGGGAGAGGTGAAAAAGACAGAAGAGGAGGAAACAAAAGTATTACATTAAAACAAAGGGAGATATGGTGGATCAATCAGCTCAATTCTCTGCATCGTTTTAGTTTGAATAGGGATAATGATTTGTATTTATTTTTGTAATCTAATATATTTTATATTTTTTCCATTATTTTTTAGACCCATGAGAAATGGAATGGAATGGCCAGGGTGAAATAATGGATTTTCTGTATCAGTTTGTTTGGATTTATGGCAATGGTTAATTAACTGGTTCCCCACCGCCCTATATCAGAAATACTGCTACAGGGCAGCACGGGTGCGCAAAATCACATATACTGCATATACCCGCGCCGCCATTCACTGCTGCGGCTGTCAATCACCGGGTCCCAGCCAGTGCTTCTCCGCCGGCACCCAGCGATTTTTGAGGATTTCCGATGGGGGAGAGACCTGTATGTAAACAATACAGATCTCCCCTGTCAGATCCTGCACACTGCTTTGTGTGGCTCTGCATAGCAAAGCCCTACAAAGCCAAGTGCTTACAGTGAAACACATACACAGCCCGCATAGAAAACACACACAGCAACCAGTTAACCCTTTGATCGCCCCACATGTTAACCCCTTCCTGCCCAGTGCCATTAGTACAGTGTAAGTGCCATTTATTAGCACTGCTCACTGTATTGGTGTCACTGGGGATATCAGTGACACCAAGTCAGTTCCCACCTATGTCAGAATACCTGCCACAGTCCCGCTATAAGTTGCTTATCTCCGCCATTACTAGTAAAAAAGAAAAAAAAAAAATCCAGTATATATTGCCATTTGTAAACGCTATAACTTTCACGCAAATTAATTTACACACGTTTAATTTATGATGAAATTTTAATAGAAAAAAGTCAAAAATATAGTAGTTTTTTGGGTTTTGTTTTTTCAAAATTGTTGGTACTTTTTTTGTTTATAGCACAAAACATAAAAACGCAGAGGCGATCAAATACCACCAAAAGAAAGCTCTATTTGTGGTGAAAAAAGGACTTAAATTTTATTTTGGCTGCAGGGTTGCATGACCGCGCAATTGTCAGTTAAAGTAATGCAGTGCCATATCACAAAAAATGGCCTGGTCAGGAAGGGGGTAAATCCTCTGGAGGGCAAGTGGTTAATTCTTCAGGTTTTGTTTTTGTACAGCTGGAATTACAGTAAATTGATTATAATATGCAGCAATATATGAGAAATTATGTGTTTATTTTTGTTTTCATTTGGTTATATAATGGTATTTCCTAATATGAGAGGAAAGCTATAGTGGTATAGATGAGATGCACCTCTGCAACCACACCCTGTGTTTGGGTATATAGAGTGATTGTATGATGTCTAGCATTACAATTGTAGCTTGATGAAGAGCAGTGCTATGCTTGAAACTGCACAGTCCCTCTAATTTTTGTATGAAGATACACTTGCAGTAAAGAGAATTTTTGCAACTTGGAGATCTCGTTCTCATTGTTTTTGATGTGTGTGTGTGTATACATATACATACAAACATACATACATACATTCACTAGTTTTTATTAGGTCTCGAGGGAATAAGTTCAGAATATTTATAACAATTCATAAAAGGAGAATAATGTACAGACAAACATGAAATTATAAATGTTTGAGACATTAAGAGCAATTACCAGCAAGGGTACATTATTGCACCTGAATCAACTGTACAGAGGATAGGGCATGAGTATATAGAACACGTTAGATTCAGTACTGGAAGGCCTATGGGAATGCCACAACAGCTCATAATATTTTCTTATATAGCTAATTTAAAAATGTATACATGGTTTTAATTCAGATCAGTTTAAAGGAGACATGATCACATTAGTTATCATATTTTTCACAAACGTCATGAATAATGTTCAGTTTTGCCACTATTCAAGCCATGCTCTTATAGGTGTCACTGGTATGGGTCACAGTAGGTAGGGTAATGGTATTGTAGCACTGTTATTTTGATATAAACACTAGATTTTCTTTTTGTAACATCTCATTATTGGGTATAGGGTTTTAAAGTTGTTTCAGTGTAATATTGTATTGACATTCTAATTTCACTTTTTCTTTGGCTCTTCTTCACCCTGTAACCTAAAGCCTAGCATTTGGCTATGGATTCTTTCTTCTGTATTGATGTTTTAGCTTGTTGGCTCTTCAAAGCCTTCCCTTATTAATCAGCCCCAAATGTCTTTCGTTTATTCAGCACTCTCCCTTCATTTCTTCTTTTCATCTAATAATTTCCTCCACACTGTAAATGTTCACTTGAACAATACCCTCTTCTTCCCCACATCACAGGGCAAATGTTGATGACATGCCTACCACCACTTCCAAGGCTAAATGTCTACCTTCTCAGCTTTATACCAAAGACCTTCTGACAATAGCAGCGACAAGCCCAATACACCAGCTGGGATTAATACAGGCAACTCGGGGATCTTATCAGATGTACTGTCCATTATTTTAAAATCTCAACATCTAGAACAGTGGTCTCCAAACTGTGGCCCTTTGCTTGATTTTATCTGACCCTTGGGGCACTAATCCTGTTACTAATACGAGACACTGTTCCCTCTCACTGACACCAAAAATGGGGCACTATTCTTCCCCCTAATTTCAATGATAGGGCACTATTCCTCCCCATAATATCAAAGATAGGGCATGGTTTACTCCCACTGACTCCAGGACAATTTCTACTGCCACTGGCCACAGTCTGGCCTCCCTAAAGTCTGAAGGACAGTAAACTGGCTCTTTGTTTAGAAAGTTTGGAGACCCCTGATTTAGAAGATCAACCTGGCTTCCTGGAGAAATTCCAGATAATATTACACAACGTCTTGAATGCTACTACAAAGCACATAACGTAAGGTGTGAATTTCAGGCAACAAGCCATGGCACCCAACAGCTTGAGGGTCGTAAGGATTATGTAACAATAGTGCTGGGGGGCCATGAAGAGTACATAGATTCTCTTCAATTGGAAATGCAGACCTTCCACTTCAAGTTGGAAGACATGGTAAATAGTTCCAGAAGATCCAACCTCAGAATAAGCTGTAGCCTAGAAACTGTTATTGACCCTAACAGCAAAGGAACAGCCCTTTTCTAGGAACTCTACCTGGAAATCCCCCTTTTTGAGGGGCTGAAGAAGGATATAGGCCACCAGGACCCAGCCGAAAGCATTAGCAAAGGGCCACACTGGGTCATTGTGATTAAACTCCACTGATTTTGTATGAAGTACAGGCTCAAGCAAGCAATGTAAGATAAATACACCTTCCTCTTTCAAAGCTACACTTACTAGCTCCACAAAGGAAGAGAAATTAAGCCTTCCATCCGTATCCTGAAGGCTCAACAGTTTCACAACTGCTGGGGCTTCACTTTCAAAATTATTTCTTGTATAAGAGCAAACAGCATATTGTTGCAGTATTGTAACAGAAGTGGAAGCCACCAATTTCTTCAGAGCTCTACCTCGCTGTCCATAGATCATCTAGATCAGCCTTAGATGTCAGATCCACAGCACCTAAGCTCCCCAAAGGAACAGCCGCAGCTGCTACAGATTGTGGGTTGATTTACTAAAACTGGAGAGTGCAAAATTCGGTGCAGCTTTACATAGAAACAAATCAGCTTCCAGTTTATTTTGTCAAAGCTTAAACAAGCTGAAGTTAGATGCCTAGGCCCTGATTTACTAAGAATCGAGTCTACCAGCAGCTAAACATTCAGGCAGACTCAATTCAATCAATTAAGACCTGTCAGTCTTCAGAAAAGAGTCTAGCAAGCTGACTGGAAAAGAGTCTACTTTCTAGGCATAATTCCCTTAGTAAATACACAGTCTGGTTTGACACATTTCTAGGAGCAATGCTGGATATGTTCGCTAGGTGGTGAACAAGCATGGGCTTTGTCCCATTAGCGTTTCTATGTGCCAATATAATCATATATCTTCATTCTCTTTAACCGCCTCCCGCACACCATATAGTACAATGACAGGTGCAAGGTGGTTCTCTCGTTCTGGGGGGACGCCATATAACGTCCTCCCATTCTAACCGCGCATGCGTGGCTCCGGGAGCCTCAGCGGATCACCGATCAACGAAAAGAGCCGAAGATCGGTCATGTGATCAGCTGTGTCCAATCACAGCTGATCGCATGTAAATAGGGAAATGCCGGTTATCGGCATTTCTCTCGTCACGAGCTGTCAAGCTGACAGCTCGAGAGGAGAGCCGGTAATCGGCATCCCTCAGAGGGGACATGTACACTGATCATCAGGGCACTGATGATCAGTGTGCCCTGATGATCTGTGTAGCCCCAGCAGTGCCACCTGTCAGTGACCATCATTGCCAGCTGTCAGTGCTCATCCATGCCACCTGCCAGTGCCCATCAGTGCCACATTTCAGTGCCTACCAGTGCACATCAATGCCACATATCAGTGCCCATCTGAGCTGCCTTTCAGTGCCACCTATCAGTGTCAGTCAGTGCCGCCTGTCAGTGCCTGTCAGCGCCGCCTGTCAGTGTGCATCAGTGCCACCTATCAGTGCCCGTCAGTGCTGCCTTTCAGTGCCATCAGTCAGTCAGTGCCTCCTATCAGTGCCATATATGAGTGCTGCCTTTCAGTGCCCATCAGTGATGCCTGTCAATGTCCATCAGTGCCACCTACCAGTGCCTCCTCATCAGTGCCACCTATCAGTGTCCATCAGTGCAGCCTATCAGTACCCATCACTGCAACCTCATTAACGCACATCAGTGAAGGAGAAAAATCACTTATTTACAAAATTTTAAAACAAAAACTAAAAACGTTTTTTTTTTTTCAAAATTTTCAGTGGTTTTTGGTTTGTTTAAGAAAAAATAAAAAAAACCCAGAGGTGATTAAATACCACCAAAATAAAGTTCTATCTGTCTCAAAAAAATGATAAAAATGTCATATGGGTACAGTGGTGCATGACTGCGCAATTGTCATTCAAAGTGCTCCCCCACCCCCCCTGTCATCACCTGTTTCATCTGCAAATCTATGTATAACCGCCCCCACTCTTTATTTAACTACAGGTGAAACTCGAAAAATTAGAATATCGTGCAAAAGTTCATTTATTTCAGTAATGCAACTTAACCACTTGCCCTTCTGAGGATTTACCCCCCTTAATGACCAGGCCTCTTTTTGGTACTCGGCGCTGCACTAATTCAACTGATAATTGCGCGGTCATGCAATGCTGCACCCAAACAAAATTTACATCCTTTTTTTTACACAAATAGAGCTTTCTTTCGGTGTATTTGATCACCTGTGCGCTTTTTATTTTTCACGCTATAAACAAAAAAAGAACAAAAATTTTGAAGAAAAAGATATTTTTTACTTTCAGCTATAAAAAATATATAGTAAACTCAAAGTTAGTTATAAATTTAGGCCAAAATTATTCTGCTACAGGTTTTTGGTGAAAAAAATCCCAATAAGTGTATATTGATTGCTTTGTGTGAAAGTTATAGCGTCTACAAACTATGGTATAGATATGCAATTTACGCCATTTTTTTGCTATACAGCGCTGCGCTAGTTTAACGGACAATTGCGCGGTCATGCAATACGGTACATAAATGAAATTTACATCCTTTTTTTTCCCACAAATTGAACTTTCTTTTGGTGGTATTTGATCGCCTGTGCCGTTTTTTTTTTTTTTTTTTTTGCGCTATAAAAAATAAAGTCTGACAATTTTGAGGAACAAAAACTATATTTTGGACTTTTTGCTATAAAACATGTCCAGTAAAAAAACATTTAAAAATCAAAT